CGGTTTTCAAAAAAAAAAAAAAAAAAAAACGGACCGGGTGCCGGCGGGCTGTGGAACGGAAACGTCTCGCGCCGTCGACGCTGCTGGCTAACGAGCGGTCAAAAGCTCGCGCAGTACAGAAATTGTGCCGCGAGTCCGTTCGGTTTGCAATGATATTACATACAGTTCAACGGAATATGGACATTTCTGTCGCGCTAAATTCTGCCGCGCACGTATTTCAACTCTCGCGTTTTTTTTTTTCCGAACCGTATTATAATTGTGAGACACGATTGAACGGTTAGGTTAGGTTCGCCATGCCGTCTCTATTCTGCAACTCGATTCCGTTGAACTCTTCGCGTGACAACCGTCCTCGTCGGCGGCGTAGCCAGCCGGCAGGCCCGGGCTTGCCAACTTTTCCCAGAAAATTGACACAATTATAAAATCAAAAATTTGTGTTGTTCAAACGTTTATATTATTTACCCGGAAAAATGTTTCTAGCTACGCCCTACGGTCCTTGTCCGCGTCTCTCGCGATTCGTATCGTGCACTTTGGCCTTTCTCCTCCGATATGACCAACTGGCGTTCTGCGGCGATGCATTTCCCCCTGAAACAACAAACGCAAACGCCCGTTTAAACGAAATGTCCGTCACGGTTCAGGCGAGCGGATCATAAACATTACGCGCGCAAAACAAAAACATGTAACACCGTCGTGTCCGGCGACTCTGCGGGGAACGTAAGACCCGTTTCGCCCAAACACATTATACTAGTCATTTTGAATTCAAGTTGACAATAGTTTTGGACTGTAATAGTTGAAACGCATGGAAAATTATATTTAAACACGATGGCGTGTCAAAAATTATTACTTTATATTACAAACGTGTAGCGTTGAAATTTCCATAAAAAACAAAAGTAGAAAAAAAGACGAGAACATAACGAAAAACGTATAATTTTATACAGATCTGATGAAAATATTATCATAGGTATGAGTTCAAAAAGAGTACGTGTAAAAATAAAAAAATAAAATTATCATTCGTATGTTTGCGTGATGATTTTTAAATAGTTTTCAATAAAAAACAATTCGTATTATAATTAATAGATAATGTATAATTTAATATGAACTTTCAAATGTATTTTATTCGACATTTTTGGGCGGCCAAGTAGGTATTAGTATCGGTAACATTTAAGGAGTATCCTGTGACGATACCAACGTTGGTTTTTCAAACGAGAACCTATATTAAAAATTTCATAAATAAACGAAATATTAGTTCAAATACATTTCGGTGTTAAAATTCTTCGTTTCCGATAATCCGTTGACAGGATATTCGATTTTTATGTTTAGGTAGGAGGAGAGTAGTAGTGAAGTATCATTTGCGTGACGGCAAAGTTTGTGGCGTTTTAACAGTCGACAAACAAGCATTTTGGCATCAGAATTTATTTAAACTATAAATACTCTATATATTTATGGGATTGTTAATATTGGTATCGCCACAGGATACTCCCCAAATGTTATGAAATATCTAAATGTTCGAGAAAATATCCTCTTTAGCTGCATCTAAAAATTTCAAAAATCAGTTATCTGAATATATGCGAACTTATGCGGAGAAAACGCTTTGTGGATCACTCTGTATACTGCGGGAAATTTGTATAAAATAATAATTCGCGATATTATAATCGTACATTTTCTATGTGTTTCAACTATATTGTTCAAAAACCGTTAAGGTCAACTCAATTTTAAAACGAATGAAATGCGTTTGGGCGAAACGGGCGTTCGGGCAAAATATGATAAAGGTCGAGTTTTGGCGAAACGGGTCACGCTCTGAGCTGCCGTTCCCGTGAAAACCTCGTATACGCGTATAATATTATGTACAATAATAATATAACATTGTAAACGGTTTCGCGAAAGTTTTAATTTGATCCGCGTCGGAGAACTTTGGTGTATTTTGGTAAACCGGAAAAATGCCGTGCGAACGAACGCATATTTGCTACTTACACTGCAACCGGTTATTTTCAGGATTTAGATTATAGATGCGGATCAACGGCGTATACTGCGCGATGGAATCTGCGAGATTGTGACTAATCTCAGTAGATTAGATTGTAACTTTTCACTATACAGTTAATTGTTTAGTGACATTAGTAATACATGCTTTAAAAGCGAACAAATAAAATTAGTAATACTGTAGTCAAAAAAAAAAGAAAGAAAAACGGCAAAACCGTTAGTGTTTAAAATAGTGTTAACCGTAGAAAACAGTAAAATTGCTCGTACACGTAATATAGGCACCCCGCGCACGTAGTACGCATCGCATCAAATGTGCGGTGTACGCCCTTTTCGCGAATCGGCGCCGATTCAATTGCGTTTTGAAAAAGGGCGCCCGGACATCTTTGTCAGTGGACGTCATCGACTTAATTTTCGGTATTTAAATACGATATTTTAAACGACGGTATTTAAAAAAGTCGCGGGTTTTCCTCGACCGCTGGCTGCGGTACCTTATCCGGAACGGGAACGGCCCGGGTTCCGAAACGGCGAAAACACACACCGACGATATACGTCTTCGAAATTCCGGGGCCGACTTTAATCGGTTTTTCGTGCTCCGCTCAGGTTCGGTTTTCGATCGCAATGGCTCGTCGTTGATTTCGGCGCGCGCGCTGAAATACGGGTACACGGTCGGCTAGACCGACAACAGCGGGATACGCCGCACTACACTCTCGTCGAATAATACGGCGGTTCTTAATTCTTATTCGTGTCAGCCTTGTGCCGGGGAATACAACTCTGAGCCACCTTACCGCCGAAACATGCATAATGCATCGGAATTCCGGGTTTAGGTTTCAAAAGAAAAACACGGACGATATTCATTTTATTGAAACGAAAAAACAGTACGTGGAGATAATAATATAACACGTCATTTACACTTCTATTCTTTTCCTCGGAGATTTCGTGTCGCACCTAACGCTTGGTCGTCGCGGTCGAGAACCTCTACAATAACGAACATATGTACCCGCAAACATTCACGTCTATAATAATGCGATTTATTTCATCCCTAATATGTACGCAATAATTATTCAGTACCTACGCAAGTAAACTATTATAATTTATACCTAATATTTTAGTACCTGTCAAACAAATATTCCCCTTTAACAATTAAAATCAACACGATACATTTTTTTTTTTTTTTAATAATTTCAGGTGAAAATCAAAAATTTCACATTATTCTTGTTTTACATTTTGGACATGTTGTAGTTTTGTATACGGTAGTCGGATATTTGTGAGTACTACACTCCCAAAAGTTCAAAACGAACACACTATCGTCTGTATCTTCGGTCACAGATAAGATGTGCTCGAGTCAATTGTTGGATTTAAATTGTGTCTTGTGTGATTTTTTCTTCTTCGATTTTTAGCCTGAATGGTATTGCGAGTAAGGTAGCAGGTAATACGTGTGCACGTTATACCGTAAATTAAATGCACTTTTTGTTTGGCGGAAAAATGCCTGTTAAGTCATAATACAATATTATACGACTTGAGCCGTTTATAAATCCTGAACTAAGATTAAGCCAGTGGGTGATTTAGTCAATTAGTAATTATGCCGTAATGTCGATTAGGTTGTAATTATTGTCTCAAAATTAATTAGCTTTTATTCGACGAATATGTAAAAATTGACTATTCTTTTCTGGTATCAAATATATACTTACGGGGGTCAGGTATATTGTTCGAGTCGTATATTATGTACACGTAACGATTGTTAAACTGAATCGCCGTGGTTTAAAAAGTGCACACGAAACAACAGGAGTATTATTGTTGCGTTCGTTTAATATAGTGTATTTTTTTATTTTTTTTTTTTTTTTTTTTTTTTTTACGCTACATAGAAAACTTTAGAATTAAGTTTCTATTGTTGTCACCGTTATGTGCCGGACGAGAGAAAATCGAATTTCGCAATGAAATTATAAAGATCTGCCTCGAGGTTTATTTTTTCTTATTATTATTATTACGCAGAGACAGTTTTATTATTTCTATAGATTCTTTACAAAAAAAAAAAATCTAATATTCGTTTCGCGTCTTATACCCCAAAATCGAATAAATACAATATTATAAAGAATTATTGTCCGGATTTAATTAAACGGGCAATAGTGTTTTTTACGTTTTGATAAAACAATTTCAAAAAAACGCGGCATTAATATCGCCGCACAAATAGTTTAGATAATATTGTTGTGGGTTTATACAAAAAGAAAAACGATAATATTACGATAACGCAATTATTGAACATTAATTATCATTAATTGTCGGTGATAATCGTATTCAGCAGATGTTAGTATGCGATATAAAATCGAAATGAAAAGGGGCATATTAGTCATAAAAGCAATGGCGGATTTCCAACACTTTTCTTGAAGGCATCCTGAAAAATAATGCGTATTTCATGTTTCGAAGGTATCCATTAACAGATGCCTTTTTTAGACAACATCCCGTTAAAATTATATCGGTATTTGGAAGGGGGTTCAAAACCCCCGGAACCCCGACGGCACGTGAATTGCAGGAAAATATTTGCTCGGAACCGTATTTTTGTGCAAAAATATTTTATGGGAAACGTATTTTGTTGAAATAGTTAGCAACGACATTGTCCAACAAAATTTGATCCTCCGATTCCCCTGTTATATAATATCATAGATAGTGATTAACTTTTCAATAAAATAAAAAAACCTTTGTTGATGATAATATTATTAATACATCCTATTCTTTCGCTCTGCGTATTACCTAGAGTACCCGTCCCACTTACAAAATATATTCTGCTCTCGAAATTCGTTATAATACCCGAAAAATCCCCGGTTCCAACAGCTGACCGTTGTCTTTGTTCTTGCTGCGCTCACTTTTTTCATTGCATCACAACATCTGGTGACAGTGTAACGAGTCAAAAATAAATAAATACTGTAAGGGAAAATTCATCCTGGAGTAATAATAACAACACGGGTCATGTAAAACCGGTAAAATATTTCCACGTGTATTCCTCGTTTTGTTTATCGTGATATTGAATCGCGTTTGACTTGGTTGTTCCAATATTGTTTTATCGCATACCCGATGATGGTTTACGAAATCGAAACCCGACGTAAAAGCACGGCCGGCAATACTCCGCAAACATCGGTTTTTCTCGGTATTTATTTGATGACCGAGCAACAATTGTTGTTGTGTTATTTGTTTTTCAGATTTTTTTTTTATATTATCAATATCGCGGTGTTCAGGGATGCCATTACGATTGCCCGTCGTAATAATATGCTCTCGCTACGCGCATAGGTACATACATGATAATACATTTTTCGATGAAAATTTATAATATAGAGGGGAGGGAGTGGGTCAACGTATAGAATTCGATATTTATTCTCTTGCGGTAAAAGGGCGCGGTATATCAATAAATTACTGAAATTTCGAGAAATGGATATACGTTGAAAACAAAAAATATTTATGACTTTTGAAAAACGACCTGTCGTCCGTCGTAACCCTCTAAATGGCTGGTTCGAGAAACTGAATTCGGCCCTTATTGACCCGCGGGCCAGACGTATATACATTTAAATACTCGTGTATCGTAGGACGACGACGACAGTATTGTGAAAACGGTTAAAACCGCGCTGCGTGCCGTCGTATTCGAAAAAGCTGACGGATCGCTATCTATGCGTAATATAATGGCGTGTAGGCATGTGCGCACGGCGTTTATCGCGTCGTGTAAATCCGAACCGCGCCGTAACGATCGTCCTGTACGCACGTTACACATTGCACATACCCGTGTGTACAATATTATTATGTATTATATCCGTGCAATACCAAAGCGTATATTATATTATTGTGTGTATACGATACATTCACAATACGAAATATAATAATAACAACACGTCGGGTTCGGATTTATATTATAATAATATTATTATACTCTATACCGGATGACCGAAAGATAAAGGGCGAGAGAGAGAGAGAGAGACGGACGGGTTGGCGGTACTCGACGACGATTAGCACACATGCCGGTGCACACACTGTACATTATTATTATAGTACGATCGTATATAATACGATCGTCGTATACGCTGTCGTCGTCGTTTCGCCGATGCATATCGCGTACACATTATCATTATAATGCGTATAATAATTTATTTTTTTTTTTTCTCTTTTCCCATTTGACAACCTATCGATTACGTCTAATGCTATAATATAATATGCGCGCGCTTTTCTCCTGCTCGCGACCGCCGTCGCCCTGCCGTCGCCCCGCCGCCACCACCGCCACCCACCACCACTAACCCCTCAAACCCGCCAGCCGCGCGTATGAGCTACTCATAAAATATATTTAAAAACGATGGATAAAAAAAAAAAAAAAAACCGGGCAAGGTTCTAAAAGCATTTTTCGTACGAGTACAATACCGCAGTCTCGACGTAACCGAACAGCGGTTCGCAGACACTATGCAATAATAATAACGTATACGAATACCTAACCTATACACGCATATTATTGTACGTATTCTAATCCCGTCGCGCCGTCGTCACTTTACTTCGTGTTTATACGCATTGCTTTGGCGTGACGCGAACGCTTATTACATTATTTACCCGACGATAATAATAATAATGATATGCATAACGTAATATTGTACGCATCCGCCCGGGCGAAAATATAGATTTCATAATATTATCCGTGTACAACAGCTGCGACGATACACACGGCGTTTCAAAAGTCTTTACACCCGTCATAGGCGCAACTAGACCGCGAACCTCGGGGGTGCTGGAAATTATAGACACATCACAGATCCCATCGTACAGAGGCAATACCCCAAAAACCCCGCACTCACAACACGCGACACTTATAATCAATAAGCGACTATACATTTTGTTTAAGATTTTTTTTTTTTTTTTTTATAAAAATGTATCAAAACATTTTTCACTTTATTTTTTATGCATTGTCCGGAGTAATTGTAATTTGTATTTTGTTCCGTTTGTTAATTATGAAACACACGGATAAAATATCTAGTCTATACTGCAAAAAAAAAAAAATTATCGGGTATTTTCGGGGGATTTTAAACTTGGGGTTGCTAAAGTCCCTCCAGCAGCCCCCTAGTCGCGCTCATGCTTCTTCCGCGATCGCGTGTGTACGGCGAACGTTGTTCGCAACCGCAGGCGATCGGCCGAAACCCGACGACGGCCGGTTAAGTTTGATTTTAAACGAGATGCGACTGAACAACGCGTCTGGAAGTATTCAAAAGTTGGCCGCCGATGCGTCTAAAAGGAGGACACTGTCACTGTGCTATTGCGCCGCCTTATTTATTCGTTTTGTCTCGGTCCGATTATGCGCGCTAACCACTAACGGGTGGCACGGTAAAATCACGTTGCTATGACGTTATTAGTTTATTACGTTACTAAAAAAAAAAACAGACGGCCGTACCATACCGATACGTGTTCTAATATAGTTGAGGTGATTTCGCGGCGTTGCCCGTTAATAAGACAGACCGGGACAGTAAACGAAGGTTGGTACAGGCTAATGCTGAGCACTTAATCCGGATTACAATAGTCCATCCGAATTCACGGATTAACGATTCAAATTATTAAAACGTATTAAATTAATTATTTTGCCGATAAAATGAAAGTAAAAAATTGTTAAACAACTGGCATCACGTGACAATTGATTAATTTATCGTAACGGTAAAACAT